AATTCTTTTCTTTTTATGACTTTGATGCATATTTTTAGAATTGTTTGCCTTTTCTTTAACAACTTGTTCACTCGCTTTCACAAAAATGGTTTCATTTGTGCTTGGTTTGGAAAACTTAGAATATCCTAATCCACTTTTATCATTAGAATATCTTTGGTGCCTAAGAATTTCCTCCAAGCCAATTTGACCTTTTTCGTATCTTTCTAAAACTCTTTTAAGTTGAACAATTTGAAAAGATAAGGATTCACAATTTTTGCATACAAGACTTTGTTTTTCATCCACCAATTTTTGTTTTTCATTTTCAATATTTTTTATGAAAGCAGTATTCTGTTCTTTTAAAAATGAAATTCTTTTCTTTTGGGATGAGATGCTTTTACACAAAGTCTTACATTCTTTTAGAAGTTCATCTATGATTTCTTGTGCATCATTATCATAAATAGAAAAATCGTTACTAACCTCATCAATTTCTTCATCGGAATGATGTGACGCCATAAGAGCCATATTTGCACATTCATCGCTTTCCGATTCCGATGATGAACTTATCTCGTTATCGTCCCAAGCAACATAAGCCTTTTTATTTTTGAAATCCTTCTTGCCTTTGAATCCTCCTTTCTTTGCAAGTTTCGGGCAATCCGGCTTTATGTGACATTGCTTTCCACATTCGTAGCATGTTACTTCTTGATTTGATGTGGATGCATCCTTTTTCCTGAAATGTCTATTCTTTTTAGGAAAAGAGGAGTTTTTATTATTATTAAAAAACTTACCAAGCTTCTTTACAAGAAGCATGAAATTTTCATTTTCGAAAGTTTCGTCGTCTTTGTTATCCTTTGTGTCAATCTTCAAGGCAATTCCTTTGGACTTCTTTTCTTGACTTTCGTGCTTCTCGAGTCTTCCAAGTTCCAATTCATGCTCTTGAAGTTTGCCAAATAAGGATGCAGATGTCATCGTTGAGAGACTTTTCTTTTCCGAAATAGCGGTCACCTTTGGTTGCCATTCTCTTGTCAAGGATCTTAGGACTTTCAGGTTGAGATCATCATTGGTGAAGGTCTTCCCGAGAGCAATCAAATGATTTGTTAGATGAACGAATCTCTTTTGTAAGGCAACAATAGATTCACCGGGCTGCATACGGAACATCTCATATTCTTGGCTTAAAGTGTTGAGCCTTGATCTTTTTACATCTGCAGTTCCTTCATGCGTTTCCGCCAAGGTGTCCCAAATCTCTTTTGCCGATCTACACTATGATACACGAAATAATTCGTCCATACTAAGAGCGCTTTGGAGTATGTTGATTGCTTTCTTCTCATCAAGAATCTTTTTCTTATCATTTTCATCATACATGTTTTTCAACTTTGCGGTTCCAACGCCATTGACCACATTTACTGGATTGTGTGGTCCTTCTTCGATTGCTTCCCATATACCTTCTCCTTGGGCTTCAAGATGCGCCTTCATTCTGATTTTCCAGAAATCGAAATACTCTCCAGAAAACAATGGTGGTTTATTACTACTTCCACCGTCTTTGAAAACCGGGTTGGTGCTAGCGGAAGCCATACTGAATATTTAAGAACAGGTTACCTTAACCTGCTCTGATGTCAAATGTAAGTTTAGAGTATGCCTAAGAGGGGGTGAATTAGGCTTTAGAAACTTTTTCCGGTTTTTCAAACCTCTTGAATTTTACTTTGGTTATGATTGTTGTAATGAAAACGGTAAATGCAGAATGTAAAAGGACACAGAGAATTATAGTGGTTCCCCTGACAATCCGAGAGTACTCCACTCCCCTTTCAACATGAAAGAGAGTTTTACTAGTTTTAGAATGTACAACCTATCATACCATCAACCGGTGAGGCCTACTTTCTAACAACTATATAATCACAAGTGTGTAAGAACAATCCTCCTGCAGACACTTACCCTTGTGTCCAACAATCTTGGATCACAAGTCACAACACAGACAATTCTGTAATTCTTGTTTTTAAGAGAAGTGAGTAATAATATCAATACACAGATTGATCTTCTCCTTTAATCAGAACTCACTTCTTTAATGTCAATACAAGTGTTCAAATTTCTGGATATGAAATAGTATGAACAAGATGAACACTTTTGAAAAAATATTTGAATTGAGTGAATTTGATTCAATGATAGTTTTTTGAAAATTGTAGGAGGTGTTTTTCAATTTGAAATTTTCAGAATTTAAATGAGTCAAAACACCTATTCAAACATGTTTAATTGAGTATAGAACAAACAATGAAAAGGTATAACTTTAAAAATGAGTCAAAACACCTATTCAAACATGTTTAATTGAGTATAGAACAAACAATGAAAAGGTATAACTTTAACATGAATTTTGATCTTTGAAATAAGCAATTTTTCAAAATTCGTTCAGTGTTAATCGGTTAACCCTATAGGTTAATCGGTTAACACATGAACGTTGGCCCAAAGAACATAAGTTTTGAAACTGTTAACCGGTTAACCTATATGATTAATTGGTTAACACTGTTAATTTTCAGAAAAATACTTAATAAAAAATGTTTTACCAATTTCAAATGTTTTAAAATTATGCACATGCAATATGATAAAATGTTAGACTTTTTGAACACTTGTATATCAATTAACTTAGTGAATTTTGATATACCTAAGCTTGCATCCAAGTCTTGAAAGATGTACGATCAATTGCATATGAAGTTTGATGTTCATTCCTTTGCATAGCCTTTGATCTTGATCATTTGAAAGCTTTGACTTTTTGCACATATGAACTGACCTTGAGTCTTGTTGTTGACATCATCAAAACATTGAATTTGAAGGTGCTTCTACATTCGCGAGGAGCCTCAGCCTATGACCGACTGATTTTCTCTTTGTTGTACTTCCGACCTGCGTGCTGTATTTTTGTAATTTTATCTTTTCGGATGGGGCTTGGCCCCTTTTTATTGTAACCAACACAATGCACGTATATTACAAATCCATGGTGAAAACAAACACCCGCTTAATGAAATATTACAAATCCCTCGTGAAAACAAACACTCGCTTAATGAAATATAAATGGTACCACCCAAAACTAACACCAAAACCCCAAATGATGTTATTTACGAAAAGTTACAACAACTACATTACATAATGTATCAAGTATACCCTCACCTACCCATCACTAATTTTGGAGATAGTTGCATTACATGTAAGGAAAAACATTGTTCAGTAGCCAATTACAACACACACCCAGAATGCATTATATGGGTTTGGAACATTGATTAACATCACATCTACTTGCAAGTGGTAACAAATGTTATAAAAGCATCATTAGCTGCTTCTTAGATTAAGTAAACAGCAAATATATAAATATTGCATATTCTCTATTGTTTTTAATCAGCAAGCAGCAACAGAGAGTATGTATGATATATTTAACAGGAATTGCACAAAACTATAAATTAGATAGAGTTGTATTGTACTTGAATATAGTGTTTTCACAAAGTCACAATCCTATAATGGAGTATTTGTGTGGATGTTGTTACAATCCTATCCATAAGGTAGAGTATTCACAGTCAGAGAATCAATTTCCCTGTTTAGAACAAGGCGTACAGAACAGAATAGCGAAACCATTGTTACCCACTTAAGTGCGACGTTCCATAGTTCATTTTCATAGCTCTAACACAATCTTGTCACCAATTTCTTCTATTTCTTAAGAAAAATGATGAAGCTACCTACCATACACCACAGATGTATGCCAACGCCAACATATATATTTATAAACTTCAAACTTCTTTTCCTATAAGAAATAAAACTAAAAACCTTCTAGCCTCCTCTCTGATAAATCTTTTATCTCATCGCTTCATATAGTACTGACATCAACAATTTGTTTAAAAGATCTCATGTAATTAAAGTTGAACTGTTTCAAAATGTGCTTCTTCAAATTAGTTACATACTTTAAGCACAAGCAATGTAGCAATGTGACATGAGCTCAATTGCAGTATGCTGCTTCACTATATTTTACGTAGATTATTTGACTTTGACACAATACAACAAAATATCCTTGTGGGAATTATGCAGAACCAAACAACACCCACTTCCACTAGAACTTAGATAAAACATTCAAAACACACATTGTAAAAAATCAGGCAGCACACAAGCACAGGTGATAGGCCAGTGACCATATCTATTTCAACTTTTAATACACGAGGGAAAGAGAAAATCAATAAGGAGAACAAAGGGAATAAATGAAACCTTCAAAAACAGAGAACTCTTACCATTTCGATCTATCTACAACACAATTCCACAAGTTCTTTGATATACTTGTTTTGACAAAAGAAGAAAAACTCTAAGAAAATCACAATGTCTAAATATGACCTTACCAAAAACTAAGTTTATGATGACAAGCACAACAAAATCATTTGACTCCCATTCTAATCCCACCTAAAGAGAAAAATCTTTTACTGTCCTCATTGCTGTGACAAACAAACATTATATTGCAAAAACATAATCAAATAATACTTTTCAATAGCTCCTTCCTGGTTTCAATAATATCATAAAATCACATATTCCAAACTTGTCATCTATATGATCTAATTTTCCACCCTACCTACAAATCAAGCATAGCATTTAACACAATTACAGGCAATTTCACTTCTGACTAATTTAACATCTCCTAAATATAACCTCAGTTTAACAACTTATAAACCCCGCACAACATTGCATCTTCACTCAAAATCCAAGACCAAAACACATATTCAACGTTGTCAAACTCACATCCCAGAAATTATCATTCCGTTCGAGTTCTGATACACAACACTGCTACAGCGCCACTATAGTTTCCATTTAACAGCACTTTATGCTAAATTAAGAACCGCGAAACAATAGCAATTTGTTTAAATTCTACTAAGTATAATGTTATAGATGCTATTCGACAACACCGGACAAATCTCACACTATTTCACAAATTTTCCTTTCAAAACAATTATATGAGGAAAATCAGAAAAGTTTACACAAATTGAAATTGAAGTACTTTGAAATCGTTCTGTTCAGTGAGCTTTTCTCCTCTGTGACTGTTGTTGCTGCTGAAGCTGTTGCTGTAGAAGCTGCTGCTGTGGCTTAGTATCAGTTGACAATCTGTAAATCCAATACACCTGAAATCGAAGAACATGATTTTGATTGATTTCACATTTCAAAAAAATTAGGGTAGTAGTTATTAAGAGAAGAAGAAAAAGAGGGAAGAGTGAATTAGGGTTTTTACCAAGGCGAGGAGATGAAATGCGATCAAAGTAAAGACTAACAATGGCATTGCGTAGAGGAACCATGGACGATCTTGCTCTTGCGAGTTCGCCATGGCAAAGGTTTGATTAGAGGTGGTGAAGCTCTGCAGCGGTGCGGCGTCGTTTTGGGTCAAATGCTGATCATGCGGTTGTGTTTCGCTGTATCAAATTCGTTTAGCACGACGAAGATTTTTCTCTGTTGCTGATTGTAGAGTGTTCCATTAAAGTAAATATGCTGAAAGTCCCAAATTACATGTAAGGTGTAGGGTGTGAATAATGATGTTTTTTAATGTTTAATTAATCAGCCTAAATTATTGTTAAAATTGAATTAGAATTTGTGTTGATTGATGGTGGAGGATTTTGAATTTATGATGATCTCTAATGTAGTGTAGTTGGATAGACTTGTAAGGTTACTGCTTTAATGTCTAAGTTAGTTATGAGTTCAAAAATTAGTATACGAAAAATTAGATATCATAATAATGTATTTTGACACTTATACGCTAGATTATTTTGGTTGGGCTGACATATGATTGGGCATTTGCTCTGGGTTTTTGGCTGACCTAGATTAGTTGTCCCCAAGGCTTTGTCGGATGAAAATCAATCAAGAAAGTTGTCGAAGTAGCAATCGGCCTCTAGCAATGTGTCCGACCTTGGAGAGAAGTGGGATCGTTTGGAGCGGTTACTAAAACTTTTGCACTTTTCCACTTCATACTTAAACTTTTGCACTCCGAACAAAGCTGTAAATTCAAATTTCAAAATACAACATATAAAACAAGAAAAAGAAGAACAAAACAGATCATGTAATTTCAAAAACTTTCGGGATCACGGAAGGGGTAAGTAAAATCCTCATTCTAAGCTTAAGGTAATATGGTGTTAGTGAGTAATTTTTTGTGACAGCCAAAGCAATTAAGAAGACAGTTTACCGAATAATACATCATAAGCAACAAGATCCTCACAAGATAAAATTCTCTCAACTCACAAATGTTTAGGTTATTGTTTACACTCAAAGCACGTCATGAAAATTAGCATTACCATAAGTTTGAAAAGACTCTAACATCCACATGTGAAATACATGCACACAAAGATCAAAAGGGCTTTATTCAGGTTGTAATGGGGTCAAGGTAAGGGTAGGATAAATTATAAGGGGTACTAGGCTAAAATTTATAGAGGTAAAAGAGAATTGAAGGAGACTATGGAAGTTGAACTAAACAATAGTTTATTCCTTTTCCATCAACATCACTTCTTGCAGCCAATTTCTCTTCTCTTTACTTTTTTTCTTTTTTTGGAAGGAATATGATAAGAGCATGAATATTATTCCTTCTTTTATTTTCTTTCTACTTTTATTTTCTATTAACTTTGAAACATCAAACTTATACTAATTTAACCTCACACAACTCCAAACAAGTCACTTTCATCCCCTTAAATAGGGAGATATCATTGTTTTTCACTTTTATGCTTGTAATGAGTTTAAAACAAAAAATGGGAGTTATAGGCTTAGATGTTGAGAAACAAGTGTGACTTGTGTTGAGAATCAAGTATGAGTTCTAAGTCCCACATTTCTTAGAAAAGTGTAGGTTAAACACTTTATAAGTAAGAGGACTCATACACCTATCACCTTAAGGTTTTGGGTGAATATGTGGTGTTTGTCTCACTTGTTTGGGTGAGTCTTTTACCATTAGGCAAATGTTTGACCCAATGTGTATGTTTCCCCTCATGATGACACATCAGTGGTATTAGAGCCTGGCTCAGGTAAGGGACAGACTCCTTATGTCGAAAGTCTTCTTGACATGTTGGTCAAGAAGTGTGTTTCATTGAAGTGCCCATGACAAGATAAGGGTGTCTCTCAATGGTTAAACACATGTGGATGAAAGAGCTTCCTCTTCATAGTGGATGGACTCACACTTGAGGGGGAGATTGTTGGAAAACAAATGTGAGTTGTATTGAGAATCAAGTATGAGTTATAAGTCTCACATTACTTAGAAAAGTGGTGGTTAAGCACTTTATAAGTAAGAGGACCCATACACCTATCAACTTAAGGTTTTGGGTGAATATGTGGTGTGTCTCTCACTTGTTTGGATGAGTCTTTGACCTTTAGTGAGTGTTTGACCCAATATGAATTCTTTTTCCTCATGATAACCCATCATCAGATGGGTTTCAAACAGGCTAACTGGATAAAAATAAAATAGAAATTACATGTCTGTTAGTCTAAAAAAGAGTCAGATCAAGTTCTAGAGACTAAGAGACATGAGTGAAATCACACAAGAAAGAAAGAGATTGATTTTTTTAATGTTGTCTGTTATTAGGCTCAAAATATCACAAAGGTTAATGATATACCACAAATGATACACAATTCAGAATTTAGTCCTACTTATTATACTAAGAAAGGATAGAAAATCACTCACATCACACCACAAGTCTTTAGTCAAGAGAACAAAGAAATTACTCACACTTGCAACCCCAAAATCCAACAGAAAAACATGCATTTTTTTATTTAAAAAATAAGTAAGTAAATTGAAAACAAGAAAACACACAAGTAAATGATTCCCTCCGCAACACTTAAGACATACATTGTCCTCAATGACAGAACATAAGTATTAAATGTGTGTGTGTGTGTGTGTGTGTGTGTGTGTGTGTGAGAGAGAGAGAGAGAGAGAGAGAGAGAGAGAGAGAGAGAGAGAGAGAGAGAGAGAGAGAGAGGAGAAGAACACACCCGAGCAGTCAAGGTGGATAAATGATCGCATAAGCAATCTTTTCTAAAGATAACTCTTCTACAATCTCTTCTTCCAAAGTGGAGCTCTCATGGAATAACTTAAGGCGGTGTCCATTGACTTTGAAATTTTTATCAGTATCTTCACTTTTTATTCTTGGATCAAAGGACATTCTTCTATAGGTAAAAGTGTTAAATAGACAAGTGAAAGTGGTTTTCTCTTTGTCCTCTAGTGCAATATAGATCTCAATATTCACAACATCTAAAATCAAGGGGTTAAGCCATCTTTGGGACAACCTAAATAATTTTTTCCATCCTCAAGTAAGATTCTATGCATACTCATGGACAAACTAATACTCGAAATGTCAGGCAAGGTTCACCCAATTACCTTATTATGTTTCTTTAATACATGCAACATTTTTGTTCGTGTTTAGATTCAAGTTTAGATTAAAAAATTGTACAGGAAAATTTTCTTCAAATTTTAAAAATGCACATTTTAAATTTGAAAGGAGCGGGTTATTGATGCTCAATAGATGACAAAATTTTGATATCAGGAACTACATTTACATCTGCAACATCAACTTTGTCAGTAGAAATATCATAAGAAATATCAACTTGTAAGGAAGCTTCAATTTCAACACAAACCAAACATAAGTGAGTATTCATACAAACATCACAAGTATAAGCGTCATCAAAATCAGACAAAGAGGGAAATCATCAAAAAGTGAATCAGGTGCAGCAAATTCTCTTAAGGTTCTTTTTCTTCCATGTTATGATAATTAAACTCAAAATCATAATCAAACAAATTATGAGAGAACACAAAATCAGAATCACTATCGCTAATGGGTGCACTAGTAGTCATGCATCATGAGTCAACAATGCAACAAATATGAAAAATACTAACAATGTCCGTAATGAGAAAAACAATTGAAAAATTAAATAAAATATATTAATATATATATATATATATATATATATATATATATATATATATATATATATATATATATATATATATATATATATATATATATATATATATATATATATATATATATATATATATATATATATATATATATATATATATATATATATATATATATATATATATATATATATATATATATATATATATATATATATATATATATATATATATATATATATAAAATATATGGAAAAATATCACTAAAAATCAAATAAAATCAAAATAAGACTCTACAATTTTTTTCCAGGTTTTTTCGAAAATAGTAAAACAAAAAATAAATCAAATGAAATAGAAAAACAAGGAATTTGCTATTTTGAGGGTCAAATTCACTTTAAAGTGGGTACTATTTTTTGAATTATTTCTAAACTTATGGAAAAAATTCAGAGCAATTCAAAATAGTAGCTTACATGGTGTCACTTAATAGGCTGAGATACTTACCACTATACTGCAACCCTAAAAATCAACACACACAAAAAAGAAACAAAAAGAACTGACAAGACTTTAAATTATAATTCTAAATTGGTTAAAATCGACAAGAGTCCCCAACAACAACGCCAATTTGATCCGCTGTCACACACGGGTCAAAAATGAGTTTAGAAAAACATAGTAAATGTAAGCGACACTCGGATTGTATCACAAGGATTCTCGAAATAATTTAACCAACCAAATGAAAGAGGGGGTTTTCAAGGTTCAAAACTTAAATTGGAGACGATTAAGGTAAAAGAAAAATTGATAAATAAGCTAATCTACTGTATCGATTTCCGACTTATCAACGATTCTTATCATTTCAATTCTCTAAGCGAATTCGATCATATTCGATTACAATACTCACAAAAAAGTGCAATTGGTGTTATATGATGTATATTTCTAATTTTGGAATTAAGCAAACGGATTTAAGCAGTCGCGAATTAAGCAAACGCGACTTAATCAAATACGATAACGAAAAAGCTACGCTAACGTGATTATAGTTAAGGATCATACAAACAATCGAATTTAATCAACTTTATTCTATAAGAAATAAACTGAAATTTATAAAAACCTCAAAGTGGAATCCGAATACAATAGATCAGCTCTTTGGAACTTAGCTCTCCATAGAATTTGTAATCCTTATTTCTTAATACGTGGATGTTGAATAAAAATAAAAAAACTACTAATTTGTTTAAATAGAGCAAGGGAATTTGGGCCTAATAGCAACCGACCCGAAAAATATACAAAATCGGCCCAAAAACTAAGTATTTTCTTAAGTTTGAATTGAAAATAAATTATGTGACTCTTCTGCACTCCGAATTTGCTTCTGATATCAACATAAAACTAGTATCTTATCCTCTCAGTATTCCAACTCATATTATAACACTTCAATTCGATTATTGTAGCTC